GCGCGGCCCGCTGACCAGACTGTGCCTGGGGCGGCGTTCGCCGCCGTACCAGGAGACCGACATGAAATTTCCTGCAAGAGAACGCGTCGATGACTGGCGGGGGCGTCTCCCGCCCTACGGCAAGCCTGTGCTGCCCGCGCAGGAGGAGCCCGTCGCCCCGGTGCACCGTCTCGAGACGGTGCCGCCGCGCCGCCGTTCGGCCCTTGGCGTGGGCCTGCTCGGTCTGGCACTCGGCGCGGGGGTGGCTGCCCTCGTGCTGGCCAACCGAGATGACCCGCGCAGCCTGGGCACGCAGCTCGACGACACGATCCGCCAGGTGCGTGGTGTCGGCAGCGACGTCCAGCAGACCGTGGCAGACACCCAGAATGCGGCCGCTCAAGCCTCGCGTCAGGCGATCGATGGAGTCAGCACTGCGCTGGACGACAGTGCGATCAGTCTCAAGGTCAAGACGGCGCTCGCGGCGGACCCCGCCTTGAGCGCAGCCAAGATCGACGTGACGACGACCGGTGGTGTCGTCCGCCTGGACGGCCCGGCGCCCGATGCGGCTGCCAAGGACCGCGCCACGGTGCTGGCCAGCGCGCCGCGCGGTGTGCGGGCGGTCGACAACCGGCTCGCCCTGCCGCAGCCGGGCAAGGTGGTGGCGGTCGTGGAGCCCGCCGCGCCAGCGGCAAATCAGCACTGACCGCGCCTGTCGCACATGAAAAAGGCCGGCCCTCGCGGGTCCGCCTTTCTGCTGTGACATCGCCTGCCGCGCGAGTCGCGGCAGGGGCTGGCATCACTGGTAGTAGCGGGCCTTGGCGGCAGCCTGGCAGCTGTCCTTGGCGTCGCCCGACATCGAGTCGCAGCGTTCCTTGGCGACCTTGTAGTCGGCCTTCAGCTTGGTCTCCATGGCATCGTTCTGCGCTTCGGCGACCTTCTTGTTGGCCTTGAGGTCGGCCTTGGCCTTGTCATGCTCGGCCTTGGCTTCCTTCATGCAGACGTCCTTGGCGTTGCCCGACTTGTCGTCACACATTTCCTTGGCCACTTCGTAGCGCGCGTCGTAGCGGGCCTCGAGGTAGTCGTTGCGGTCCTTGTCCTTGCCGGTGTACTGGTACTCCAGGTTGGCGAGGGCGACCTTCTTCCTGGCCCTTGGCGCGTTCGACGCAGACGTCCTTGGCGTTGCCTGCCAGCGTGCCGCAGTTGTCACGCTCGGTCTTGTACATGGCCTTCACTTCGTCCTTGGCGGCGGAGTAGACGGGCTTGGTGAGCGTGGCCGAGGCGGTGCCGGCGAGGCCGACGAGGGCGAGGGCGCAAAGG